ATGTGTTATATGATCTTTTTTCTCTTTCATTTTAAGTTCTTTAGCACCAGTAATTCACTGTGGGTGTTCAGTGTACTTAACTCTGATTTTTAATCAACACTGTCAGCTCAGATTTGCAGGTATTCGTTCAACATTAGCTGTGCCCCAAAACTGCATTGTACCATAATAAATAGTATGCAAAATAGACCATTAAAAGTGCATTAATTAGCACTGTATGAAAAATATGGTATAATGTGGTTTTGGATGCAACCATTGTTTTATTTAACAGTATATGCATTTATTCAACATTGTAAATGTTCATTCACCAATGGGGGTTTATTCAGTGGGCACAAAACGTCTGTAGTTGTATAAGTAAATGTAGAAGTATTATTTGTGTGTCTAATTGAGTAAGAGTATGAAAATACTTACTCTTAAATGTACTTAAACGGGAATTCTTTGAATTTTTCCAAAAATGAAACATAATTCAGTCAGTAAGATAAAGTCATTCAAAGCGTTTTGATGTGAAATGCTTTATTCTAGAGTGGTGGTGTTAGGAACCAGACATCTGCAACTCCTGATTCCTATCACTAAGTCAGTAAGTTACACACAAACCACTCTGAATGACTTTGTTAACATCTTTATGATAAAATATACATGAATGATGTGAAAAAGCTAGTAGAATTTACATGCATATATATATATATATATATATATATATATATATATATATATATATATATATATATATATATAATGGTAAAACAACTATTTTGCCTTACAACACCCTGCATGAAATATAATATTTAAAATACATTTTGGACCAAATCCTTCTCAAAACAATGTGTCAGGCTTTTGAAGGCATTAAAACGCTTCAGCCGTCTGAATTGGTAATTGACTCTAGAACAGAGCATTTCACATCAAACCACTGTGCATGACTTTGTTCGTCTTACTGACTGACTCATGCAGAACTTTGGAAAAATCGGTGGAATTGCCCTTTAAGAACATTTGACGCTAAGTTAAGTACTTTTACCGAAAAAGAAATAAAGAACACTTCTGTTTTTACTCAGTTTACAGTGAATGTGTTCATTTCCACCCCATAATAGTACATCGACCTCTATGTTGTTTTCGTTTATTTATTATTTATTTATTTATTTTCGCCGTTAGAGTCTCCTTGCTCCGCCTCGTCTCGCGCAGAGCGGAACCATCGGCAGGGCGCGCTGCTTAGTTCAGTGCTCGAGGACGGAGCGTAAACAGAGAGACACCGCGCAGCAGCAGAGATGTGGTGGCTGTTCTGCTATCTGCTCCCCATCATCAGACTTTATCTAGCCGGACTTAAAGTTCTCATCTACCAGCTCCTCAACAGGCCCTTCACCTTACCAGGTCAGGAGCTCTTAGTCCGCGCTGAACGCCCAGCTCAGCTTTTTTTCTGTTTTTCTGAGTGAAACGTTGCTCCCTTGACTTTAGTCGATGGTGTGTGGCAAAGTTCAGTGAGAGTTACAGCTAACTAACTCCAGCGATACGACAGGAATGTAATGTCGTTTAAACCTAACTTATGGGCCAGAAATAGCTTTGCTGATCTCGTTTCCTTCTTCATGTCGATTGTTTTTGGTCCAACAGTTTTAACCTGGTAAGAATATGTAGTTTGAATAACATTCCTGTTGTTAGTGATCTAACAGAAAAACAAACTGCTCATCTCCTGATAATTATCTCACATCTGCCTCTGCCTATATACAAACATAATATATAAAGTTAGCATTTGTGTCCTTTAGTTTTACTGTCTGCCTGTTACACCAACTTATTTAGCTATAAAATATGAAGTGTGAAATATGATGTAGAGCTAATTAGACCAGTTAAGCCTTCATAGGAGCTCAAATTTAGTTTTTTCCATCTTTGGCAGGATTCGTCAAGCACAGGATGCCCAACCCGTCACACAGAATAAACAGAGAAAACTATTTTATCAAAAGTTTTTTTTTTTCAAACAAGTCATGTAAATTACTGTCTAAAAACTGTCATTAACAATGCCAAACTGTGTTAACAGTCAGGGTAATAGTCAGTGTAGCCTGAAATCCTCAGGAAATCACCCTTCACATTCCCGTCTGTCACAAACTTAGTAATAAAAATAAAATACAAATGGTTACCAAGATAAGAAGGTCTATTTTTTGGTAAGAGCAGAAAATAACAAACTGTAGAGGACGAAAATTATACCTTGACTTGAAAAACTTTCAAAATAGCATGTTCATTAAAAAGTCTTGGGAGGTCAACCTCTGGCCTAAATTCCGAACAAATACTTAAACAACTTCCCCCAAAGACTTTGAATGAAAGAATGGCTTGTGGCTGCTACTAGAAGTTACTAGAACTGTTTTTCTCCACTGACTGTAGACCAGTGTGCAGCTTGGTCAAGATCAGTGGTCATCAACCCTTCTCTCAGAGATCCACCTGCCTGCACAGATTTTTTGAACTTTAATCGTCTACACTGGATCTAACTGATCAAAGTCTTCAGAAGAATCGGATAAGCAATTGGATAAGGTTTGTTAAATCTGGGTCAGAATTAAACCCGTCTTGTAGATAAATCTCCAAAATGAGCAGTGGTGACAATATGGGGCTGAAAAAACTGGTCTGGGGTCAGTATGAAGAAGCAGTTTCTGTACAGCGATTCATGGAAACGAGGGATTAGATACGCTACACAATGGACTTCTGTTCACAGCATTAGTGCATTAGTGGAGTATTAGTACCAGGAAAAATCAGAAATCTCTGAAGAAAGCCATGTATAGTTGCCTGTAACCAGCTGAATTAACATAACATAGTTGTTTAATCATTGAGTGGCGTAACACAGTGAGCTTTTTTTTGCATCTTTTCTGTCTCACTTGATAACTTGAAGTTTAGACCTTTCAGTAGTAATTAGACTAAAAACTCAATGCTTACTTTGTTGTGAAATATCCAATTATCACCAAACTGTGGATTACTCTTTAAATCAAGTTTGGACTTGCAGTTCTGATTAAATGTGATCTCTATGGACTATTGACACCGTGAAATTTGTGCTACATAGATGTCTAAACTCAAGCTTAGCCATATGAAGTAAAAGAAGACTCTGAACCAAATATCTTTACTACATAGATCCATTTTAGGGCTGTTAACCGATCAAAACTGTTAGTCTGTTAACTGACCGAAAATCTTTTTTTTCCCATCTAAAAGTTGATTAATCACACCCCCCAACTCCAGGAAAGCATAATGTGTATCTCGATAACGATGAAACACTAGCATATTGCCCACCCCAGTCTATAGCGCTAAAATATTTTATTCATTTTTCTTTGTAATCCTACAAAAAGTACATTTTCAGTTATTTTCAGGCAATCACCATTGTGAATTTGTTTATCTCTGAATACACTGAGTGAGAAGCATAATAGACAAGCAAAGCATAGCGCTGACACTGGCAATATCAGTGATTTCAGTAACATTAGCACTGGAGGACACCTTCAGCAGACAACCCTGGACAGTGCTCGTGGGAAAACTATGGATAAGCCAAAAAGCAGCAAACTAGCAAAAGCATCAGTAAAGTGGAAAACTACAGTGACCCTCAAAACAGGACGTCACATAGCAGTATAAGAGTGAATATCATCGGTAGTTAAAGAACTCTGACCAACTGCCTGTTTTGTTACAGAGAGAGCGTATTTGCATTGGATTTCTCTACAACTAAACTTAATGGAATTTTTGAAAATTTCCACTATTGCGCCTTGTTTACTACAAGAGATTCCAAACTCGGTCCTGTTTTTCCACTGAATGTCAGTGGAATGTCACTCTGAAGTACGAGGTTGTTAAAGACGTTATAAACATTGGAAATATAACATATATGGAAATACAAACATTAGACAGACAGACAGACAGACAGATAGAAAGACAGACAGACAGACAGATAGAGGAAAGTTAGCCAAAACATTGCTACAACCATGCTGAAAGCAAGCTACCATTCCTGCACATTGAAATGACATAGCAAGCAAGTAAGTCTGCTACTAAACTATCGTATAATAATACCAGCTACTCCAGATGTACTCTACTACTGCTAAAGTTACTTGACTATCAAAGCATGCTGGTTTGTTTGAGTTATTTTGGTGAGTTTGCCAGTCTTATGATGTTAGTTCAGTAAGTGCTAGCATGCATGTGGCAAAAATCATATTTCTTCCAGTGATAGGAAAAATTTACATAGGCCAAATTGGATGAGGTTTAGAACATCTGTGTTTACCACAGGGAACATTAGCAGCAATTTTTGAAAATTACATTTGTTTTTGTCTTAGAGAAACTCATCTTAGACCCGAAGTTCCTAATATGGACATGATTCCATCTGCAGAATGAGGAGACGGCCTCAGTGGTCTATTAACAAAATACATAAATGCACTTATTTGACTTACAGAATCTTAGTTGACCAAGAATGCTACTACTGATGAGTTGACTTTGAGGGGGTTTCCTGTCACTGTTTTTTGATTGTTTGGTCAGTAGCAGGTGAGTTTTTGGATTAACTAATTTCTAATCCCCAAAAATCGGCGAAAGCTTCAGAGAGTGATTGCTGTGGCAGAGTTTTGAAAATGTGCAGCAATTTAATGCTGATCCTTAATCATCCACAATCTGGCACTAATGGCAAATACATCCTGGCATTCAAGCAAAATTAAAGAGAAGTGGGTCAGCACACACTGTTATCAGTACATTGTCTTTTGCTCACTATAGGACTGATGCAATTAATAAACTACAGCTTCCTGTACTCTGACCCTTGCATGTCCAAGAGACATTGCATTTTAGAGTCAAGGGATGGACCTTTGTGTTGCAGTGAAAGATGCAGTGATGTTAGTCAGTGTCTTCATCCGTCTCACAGACACCTATGCTTCTCAGTTCCTTTTCAAGAGTCCCAGTGAGATGGAGAGCATGTCCTTGGTCAGGAAGGCCAAAACCAGTTTGAAAAGTGGGATCATCATTATTTTCCTCTAATGTTCCTTTTGTCCTGTTCTCTCTTCCTCCATTTTGTCCCTGCCCAGTTTTGCCCAGACAGCATGGAAGGGTTGCCATAGTGACGGGAGGAGCCAGAGGAATGGGCTTTGAAACTTCTCGACACCTGGCGAGTCTGGGCATGCACGTGGTCATCGGTAAAGTGTCAGCCTGTACTTTAGTGATCTAATCACACTCTGGTCACTCTACTATGACTCTTATGATTTGATGCTGATTAGTACAGTTTAGTGTAGTGGGTGACATTGTGGCTCCCTGCATGGCAGACTGGAGCTCAATTCCCTGCCTGGGCAAACACACCATGCTATACCAATAAGTAGGGGTTAATTTTGGATTTTGGAGGTGGGGAAGCCCTATTTCTTCCATGGTGGTCTCCAGTGTGGAAATAATTATAGGGTGTTCTCAGCACTGATATCATGACAATCTAATTAGAACTAACAGCCTGTGTGTTTCTGGCTTAATGACCTAATAAAATCAGATCATTTACTTAGTTTGCTGTTTTTAATTTTCTTTTTTATCAGTTTTGTTATCAAAATTATATTAAAATAAGATCTGATTCGTTTCTGGCAAAGATGAAAATCACACTAAAGGGGAAGGTTTTCTCAAAACCTATTTAAAGGTTTGTCTTTCAGCTCTGTTCATCACATTGGATAATTAAATAGATTTTATGAAGACTGTAATGGAAACGAGTTACATTTTCATCAAATTGCAGTACCAGAGCTCAGCTCTGTTTACCATTCACATGAACCAAAGGTGCCAGAGCTCCATTTGTTCTGGCCTTATTTAACCCCTGCCAGTAAGAGCCCTTGGACAAGACTCCTAATGCTAATGCTTCTTACCTCTGTAACATGATTAAACTCTAAGTCACTCTGGAAAAACAAGCAAAATGTAAAATGTATCTTAGATCAGGTTTAGCTTGAGTGAACTGACTTCAGATCAGGGTCCTCACAATAACATTCCAAAAAAAACACCCCTTGCTTAAATGCAATTCCTGTAGAAAAACAAAATGTCAAATATACTTGTTACAAATTTTTTTTTAAAATAAGACTGGCCCATACAAGATTTTTCAGGATATTTTTGAATACTCGTTCTCAAACTAAACGGTTTTTATTCGTCTCTGATAGAACAGATTAGAAAAATGTATATTTCGATTTCTTAACAGCCTCGTGATTCAGATGGTCCAGTGACATTTGGAATAAAATGTACACAGGACAAAACATATTGAAACTTTTTTTTTTTTAGCACGTGGTGCGACTTTGGAAAATACAATTCATTTTTGTCATAGAGAAATCCTTTAGATGCAGTTCTTGACAAATCTTGGAGGTCTTGGAGGTCTGGTCCCTACAGCATGGTGCAGGCTTTGAACACTTGTTAATATTTTGAAATGAGTTGTTGAATACTCATTCTTAAAATCACCCTTTAAAACAGTTATATTTCAAGTCTTTTTATTCATCTGTCTGACGGATCAGCTACCCTTCCATTCGAATCAAGATTTCAGTCCACACTGGGCTGTAGATCTTATATCTGACTAACTCTGTGCGAGTGAAGCATAAGTTCTATAGAGATCCAGTCAAATCACACAATCTTACTCTCTAGTGTTCTAAACTGCATTTAAAATAATAATTGACTTAAAATTTACATACATCTTTTTTACCACTTTTGTTGGTATTGTAGTTGTAGAGCAGCTCCTGCACTGTACTAATAGTGTGCAGAGGAGATGCTTCTCTCACAACAACAGTGAATAAAAACTGACTGGGGTTTTGTCTGAATAAACAGATCTGCTGTTTGTGCTGTCAAGTTTTATCCTACTGTAAAGCTGTTTCATTAGAAATGAAAAGAAGAAAAACAAGCTGGTATTCCCGCCTAAAGCTGTTACGTGATACAGCTGTAGACAGTGTGGATTGCCCGAATGGTGGTCCTCTGATAAGTATCACTATATGTACATACTTGAGATGATTCATCAAACTTTTTGCGTGTCTTGGTTGTCCATACTCTCATTGCACATTTTGTCTTTTTTTATCGTCTTTTAATTTTAAGAGCTCCCAGCTATGATTTCTTTCTGAGGCATCTCTGCTCTTTCGGCTTCAATGGCCCTGTGAAAAGTGGCAGTGCAGTTTGTTACTCTGAGGCTAAAGTTTCTAAACTAAACCAGCTATAAAAGATTATCCATATAATAACGATAACTGCTCTATCTAAATGCCTTAGCTGTTTAAATGTGTGGCTTACAAATGGCAAAGCTTTTAGATAATAAATAGAGAAATGACTACCAATGTAACAAACAAATGCTCAAGTATTGGAATGATTCAGTGCAGCCGTATTAAAAAGCCTACTTGCTTTACAGTACTGTGTAGAAATGTCTCAATATTTGTTAATAAAGTACAGTTGTATGCAAAGGTTTGGACAGGCCAAATTACACGGTTTTCTAAGTGGAAATAAGTTAACACATCAACTACAGTAAAATCCTCTACAGAAAACAAACTTAAAATACAAACTTTTCTGCAACTTTCAAAGCACAGTTTTTATTTATTTGCTTAATCTAACATATTGAAAAAATATATAACATAACGTATTAAACGTGCCATAACTTTTTCACAGGCCTTATTTTATGTTTCACCCCCCACAATGTTAAATTCATAAATAAACGATTAGTAATTGTGCTATAAAATGTGCAGAAGTGTGTTCTCTGTGGAGGATGTGTTACTTATTTTCACTTAGAAAATCATCACAGTTTGTCATCACATTTGTCCAGGGGAACGTATGGATATTCAGCATGATACTGTGATCTTGGGCACTTTGAAATAACGTCACTGAATTTTAGTCAAACAAGTTTCAGGTTTATCACAGAGTTTTTTCTATATGTTCTGGTTCACAAGCTCCTACTATGCTGTCACATTTGGCAGGAATAAACAAGCTTGTGGCATCTAGAGCAGTTCACCCGATGCTTAATCACATGTGTTAGCTTTTATTCATGATTAGCCTGTTACCGTTGTGGGGTAAACTAAGCTGTTACCCTCCCAAATGAAATACTCATTATATTTCGATTTAACTTGAGGACATTGTTTGAATTTGAATTATTAATATGTTCCCAAACACATTACAGATCACTTTCAAGAATTTTCTTTTTTTTTAATGATATATGTTGATGGGAGTGGACTTTACACATATGAGAAATATCAGTTCTATATTATGATTAATACCACCTTTATCAAGGAAATAAAAATGTCTTTTCCATTATACATCAGATGTTACTCTTTTCAAAAACCCATTATTTGAAAACATAAACGTTGCAAATGGATCTGCAATATTTTGGAATCGAGCTCAGCAGCAAAGCAACAACATGTCTACTAATGTACAGTACACAGATTTATGAAGCTTTGTGTTAGTAAATACAAAACTGGTCCCTGGGTGTGTGTTTTGCAACAGTGTTTCAAAGTATTTAAGCAGTTTCTGATTGGGGCTTTTGAAGCTTAATCTGGACACACAAAATCCCAGAATTGATTTACTGCCACTAGTCAGATTTTATGGAGGGACACCTTCATTCCTTAAGATTTCTTCAGAAGACAGCGTGACCTAAATAGAGTGAACGCAAATCCCCAAATCCTTCAAGATTTCCGTTTGCAAACTTGACAGCCTTTCCTCAGTCATGTTCAGGATTTTGTTATGTATGCTTGTATGGATGCTTATATTTCTCACTCTAGGTCAGGAGGTTCTTGCCTGCATTTTTTAATGTTTTCCTTAAGTAGCTGTCCTGCATGGGTTAAAGTTTTCCATGAAGGACTTGATCATTTTAAAAAAGTTTAACAGGAAAATTACAACCCCATTTCCAAAAAAGTTGGGATGTTGTGCAAAATGTAAATAAAAACAAAATGAAATGATGTGCAGATCATTTAAACCCTGTACTTCATTGAAAATATTACATAGACAACGAATCAAATGAAGAAAACTGAGAAATTTTAATGTTTCTTGAAAAATATTTGCTCATTTTGAATTTGATGCCAACAACATGTTCCAAAAAAGTTGGGACGGGGGGCATGTTTACCCCTTTGTTTCATCACCTCATCTTTTACCAACACTCTGTAAGTGTCTAGTGGCAAGTTTAGCACTCTCACTCTCTGATTATACAGCCATGCTGCTGCAACGTGTGCAGAACGTGGCTTGCTGTTATGGCATTTAAATAAGTATGGATGTTTCTGAAAAGGACGGCATCTAAAAGGCAGCATATGCTGCTTCAAAATGTGTATCTTTCAGCGTTAATGGTACCTTTACAGATATGCAAGGTACCCATGCCATGGACACTGATACCCCCCCATACCATAACAGTTCTTGGCTTTTGAACTCACTTGGGCCAAAGAACACCATGCCTGTTATTTCCACAACCAAACTGAAAGATTGACTCGTTAGACCACAATACACTTTCAGCATCAGTCCATTAGCTTGAGCTATTTTTTGTCCTTTTTTTTTGACATTTTTTGGCAGAGTGGTGAGCCTCAACCCATCCTTACTCATGAAGGACTAGGCCTTTCTTGAAAGCTCTTGTTTCTGCCCCAGTATGTGAAATGCAAATAACTGAAATGTAGATTTACATTCTGGAGTTGTAATTCTGGAATTGAAGTTTGTATTCTGTTTAAGTTTAGACGTGTTTCTGAATTAAACTTTTCATCTGTATTTCTTAGATATGCTAATGGGAATGCCTCTCCGCAAATTAGCATACACAGTTTGATCTGCCAACAAGCAAAATACAACATCAGCATAATGTTGCTGTACATAAATAATAATTTAAAAATGTAGAAACGTAGTATTGTTTCTATTTGTTTATCATGTAATTTTTTAGAAAGCAACTGTTTGTTAAATTGCACATCAGTATTCTTCACCCAGTCAGTTTTAGAGTGAGTGAATGTTGGATTGTGTAAAGAAAGTGACTGCAGAAAGTTAACGAGCAGGTCTCATGCAGTAATGACGTGCTTTCTCTCCTGACCTGTTCATTTAAATGCAGAGAGACAGAACACTGCGGCTACATGTTCATATCATATTCTTAACAACAGGGACTACTAGACTCTGAAGTTTCTGACTGGTACCCTCGGGATCACAGATTAAAATTCAGGAGCACTTCCTGGGCCAAAGAAATTGTTAAAACTGCAGTCCTATATCTGCCTATAGTCCTGTTTCATAAATCCATATTTCCAGAGGTTCCTGCCAGGGTTTTTCCCTCCAGCTTCTAAGGAGGTTTTCTTGGTTCCTCTCAGTAGTTCTTTCTCATGCTCTTAGGATGTTTTTCCTTTTCAGTCTTGGTTCCTTTCAGTGGTTCTTCTGCATGCTCTTAGGGGGGTTTTCTTCATGCTTTTACTGTGTTTTCCCTTTCAGTATTGGTTCTTCACTGTGTTTCTTCCTTCTGCTCTTAGGTTCTTTTTCAGGCTCCTACAGTGTTTTCTCTTTGAGTATTGGTTCTTCTCAGTGTTTGTTCTTTCTGCTCTTTTTTGAGTCTTACTTCCTCTCAGGTTCTTTCTCATGCTGTTATGGTGTTTTTCCTACCCCCTGATGCTCATTGGGGTCTGGACCCACATTTCTGTAAAGGGATGTGTTAAAAAAGAACCATGGATGTGAGAAGCAAGCTGAGGGTACTGAAATTTTCCAGCAGCAAATACAACATGCATAGAAACATCATGCCAAATGCTATACCAAATAATGTTTTTTTCTTCATTTGAATTGTTTGTATGATTTACATTAAATAGAACAAAAATTCATGAATAATTGCTGTAATATGGAGAGAAACAACATTATGGCCAAACTATGCAAAAGTAAGTTCAAATTAAGCTTCGCTGGCCAGCTGTCAGTCAGATCAGCATTTTTATTCAGGCGTGATGCCCATAGTCAAGCTGCACCTTGAAACCAGCATTAAGAAGATGCAATATTCAAACGCATGAATGAGCACACTATTTGCTCTTGCTGTCACGGATAAATCTGGCACAAAGTTTTATGAACCTGGCCCCTTTTTCATACATACAAAGGTAACTGAACAGTAATATCAATTAAAACAGTTATATGAACAGATTAAGAAAAGAACAGCAAGTGCCAACTGAAAAAAAGCTAAAATGAATAAATAAATAAGTGCAGCTGCAGCAGTGGCAGCAGTGGCTGATGTGGTTGTGTTTGAGTGTGTTTATGCTAATCATCCACCTCTTGTTTCTCTCTGCTTCTTAAAGCTGGAAATGAGGAAGACGAGGGTCTGGCTGCGGTGAAGAAGATTCAGGAGGAAACAGATCAGGGGAAAGGTACAGTGGCACAGTTGAACATTTCAGCTTGAACCGTACACTCAGTGAGAATACCAAGACTTGAGGCAGCACTGCATTACATTTCAATGTGTCTGAGAGTCAGACAGGAATATCACAATAAAAAAGACTTTGCTTCATAATTATGCTGTCTTGAGTCTGTCATCAGCATTAGTGATGTGGTAAGATTTGATTGCTACTTTGCTCTGATATTATTGTCGACTTTTAAATGTGAAGCACTACATGTACTTGACTGTACTCTCACACTCCATGACTCACCAGTTCAGAAGACTGAAGGTTCTCCACAAGAAAGGAGCTTTTGTTCTTGCATAATTGAAAGGGAGGAAACTGGCATGGGTCAGTAGTGACTGTAAATGAGTGGACAGCATGAGAGCAGTTAAACGGGAATGCCAAAATGTCTCTGACGCCCTTTAGTGGCTGGCTGCTATACAATTTGTAACTTTGCCCATATGCATGTAAGTGAGTGAAGAACAAACTAACATGTTAAGTTCCATGTGTCACTCATTTTGGCAGCTCAATGGTAAAAGCTATGTTTTTTTTTTCCCACTTAAGATAATGAAACGATTAATCTTTCAACCCCAGCTTGCAGTCACAAATTGTCTGCACTTTCAGTAAAAGTCCTGAATTGATACTAAACGGGTTCTGCAGAAGAACCCTTACGGGGCTAAAAGTATGTGGACACCTGACCATCACACCTGTATGAGCTTGCTGGACATCTCATCTAAAACTGTGAGCGTTAATATGGAATTGGACCTCTTTTTGCGACTGTAAAAGCCTCAACTCTTCTGGGACACCTTTCCACAAGATTTTGGAGTGTGTCTTTGGAAATTTATGCCTTTTTCAGTCAAAAGAACATTTGTGAGGTCAGACACTGATGTGTGATGAGAAACCCTGGCTCACAATCGACATTTCAATTCATCCCAAAGGTGTTCAGTGGGGTTGAGGTTAGGGCTCTGTGCAGGCCACTGGAATTCCAATATGCAATATGGTGACGATTCTGATGTGCTACGCACTTCCACATTCAGCAGTCCTGCTCTGTGAGTTTGTGTGGTCTGCCGTTTCGTGGCTGAGTTGTTGTTGCTCCTAGACGCTTACGTATCACATAAATAGCACTTGCAGTTGACCGTGGCAGACCTAGCAGGGCAGAAATTTCACAGAGTGACTTGTAAAGGTGGCCTGCCATGACAGCGCCATGTTAAAGTCACTAAGGTCCTCAGCATTACCCATTCTACTGCCACTGTTTGTCTAGGCAGATTGCATAGCTATGCTTGATTTTATCCACCTGTTAACAATGGATGTGGCTGAAACACCTGAACTCAATAATTAGGTGGGGTGTCCCAATACGTTTGGACCCATAGTGTATTTCAGGCTAGGTTTGTTACAGCACTGGATCGGACAATACTGAAACTGGGTTCGGAATCGGAGCCGTTTCTAGTTGAACTGCACACGTACGCTTTGTGTACTGCTCCACATCCTCCATCTTTTCCACCAAAGCTGTTTTTGTCATTTTTCCCCTCCTTTTCTGTCTGTTAGTTTGAGGGCTGAGAGCTGAGGGTATTAACTGTCATGTGCACAAACAGAGATGCAATGTGAGCAAGCCCGGGAAGATGATGTTTGATGAATTTGCCTTCTAGAAAAAGTGAGTGAGAAGAGAGGCAGCGAGCAGGAGGGAGGAGGCGCACGCTTGTGTGTAAAGAAAAATGAGAGTAAAATGTTTGATGAATGTGCAGACGCTGAATAACGTTGTCCCTCTGCCAGTCTCATTGTCATGCAGATGTGATATGGAGAGAGGCGCCGTGGAGATGAAGGAGAGAGAGAGAGAGCGAGAGAGAGTGGGCGAGAGAGAGAGAGATGCAGCCTCCACTGCTTAATCTCTGTGAAGGGAGCTCGCGCTAGACAAGAAATAAATATGTTTGTGTTTGACACGGCACAGCCCAAAACAGCTGCTGCCTTCTTGGGGTACGTGTGTGTGTGTATGTGCGCTTCCACCCCTGTGCACAGTACAATCCATCACATTGCCACTCTGCAACAGGGCTAATGATGTCACTCAGTCAGGTTAAACCACCTGTAGCGGAAAATGTTGCTCAAGCCTCCAACAAGATCCACTCGTCATCTTCACAGCAGGAGTGATTCATAACCAGCAAGAAGTGAATACATAAAGCCAGCTAATATTTCAGCTCAGTTCAGCCATTTACCAAGCAGGTGAACTTTTAAAAATCATATGTAGAGATAGCACCCCAGGTTAGCAGTGTCAGGGCATTAAAAAAAAATGCTGTTTCACATTTAATTTCACTACTGAAACACAAATGCTGTGTCTGAAATCGTCCCCTAATCACTATAGGGCACTATTTCGGGGTTGATGTATTTTGTAGTGGTGTCCAAAAACATAGTGCAGAAGATCTAGTGCACTCAAACAATCCCATGGTGCAGCATGATAAGTAGTGTACAACCGATGTACCCTAGTGTAGGATTAGCGAGCCCAGCTACAGTGGCAGCGTCTCCAAAGCCCTCTCTTCAGACCTGTTATGGCATGTCGTTTATAATATTCATATGATGGAATCTGCTTTTGCACAGTAATGAGCAAACCCATATGATGTAGTCTGACATAGTCTGAAGTTGTTACAATCTTAATCGTTACAACTATAATAGTGTGATCCAGATTTTTGAATGTGCGGTGTAGTGAATAGGGCACAGTTTCAGACACAGTTATATAGTTTTAGTCCATAGGCGGAGCCTTATTTTAGCCACACCCCTGCATTTTAGAGCAAAAGTGAGACTGCATCCCTGTCCCTCATGGCCACATGGTGAGCAGTTAAATCCTGTTTTGAAGTAAATGTGTTCCGAAGTCTGAAAATCAGTGTGTAACATTAAGAATTATTGCTCTCAAAAATGTGTGTTCAACTGTTCGAAGCTGTGTTTGTTAGTCAGTTATGCTCAAAACAATGCTAAAATCATCACAACCAAAAGTTTTGGCAGTGTTATGACTGTTTTGGTAGTGACAAATGAAATGTTAAATCAATTTTTTAAAATCAAATAAACATAGTTAAGTTATTTGATCATTCAAAGAAAATGGATTTCTGTCTAAAGTCCAAATCAGTTAAAGGTGTCTTCAACCTTCAACCATTTTTTTTTTAAATGATCCATAAATTGGTGTCACAAAAAAACCTTTATAACTACAAATACTGCTGTAATAATGTATTGTTTTAAATTATACACATCCCAAATGTAGGAAAGTTACAAATTTCTAGTGTTGTTTCAAAACTCTTTACAGCAGTTTTAGTGACAATTTTCCCTACTACAAGTTGACATGCTATGCTCTTTCCTCCACATTCACAGCTGGCAAACATGATAATCCTGAAGTGCGCCCACCCAGCTGTCTCCTTGCCTTTTGTCCAACTGTCACTTCCCTCCTGAGCCCACAACTGGATCATGGTCTGCTGAGTGATCACACTGCAGCGTTCGTTGACAGAAATAATGTCACGTAAAGAATCTGGTAGCTCACCGAGCTCCTGCTCTGCCACAGAAGTCTGTCTATGTTAAGCATGATTCGGCTCAGTGGGTGAGGGCGGTGAGTGACTGAACCAGGGCAGCATGCTGGAGGCACCCATATATATTTATACACGCACTGATCTGCTCCCTCGTAGTTCGTGTTTTGACACGGCGAGGGGGGCGCAGGAGCTATCAGTGTGACACATGACATTACATTCCTGCTGCTGTGTTACAGAAACAGCACTCTAGATGGGGACATGGATTCTAGGACCCGACTGATGGATCGTCTGACCCAAAATATCGGATGATATTTAGGTCCTGCAGATTTATCATCATCATCACAGTTCTCAGATGATGCTCAAATTAATAGTTGCACTTTTGAGCACTTAATACTGTTGTGTGTCAAAGTTTGGGCACCCCTGGTCAAATGTCAGATGACATGTTTTGTTGATTTTCTTAGTGAAAATAAGTTAACACGTCCTCTAAAGACACCACACTTCTGGACATGTCAATATACAGTTACTGATTATGTGCTAATTTGAACCTTTTGAGGAAAATAATACCAAAAACATAAAATGTGGCCTGTGCAGAAGTTATGATGCATTTTATTTAATTCAGTAAATAAACAGAAAATGTGCATAAATATTAGCAAAAAATGCATATTTCCATCCTCTGTGGAGAATATGTTATCTTATTTTCTCTTAGAGCATCAACAAAACATTTGGCTCGACTCGGGCGTAAGACTTTTTTATGGTTTAGGTGGTGTGAGCGTGTGTTCATGCACATAGTGACCAACCTTAAAAGGCTCATATCATGATATTTCCTTGCCTTTTTAAAAATTGAAGAGTTTGCTGTAGTATGTAAACATTTGTTAAAGTTTCAGAACATATCATTCACTCCCCAGTCCATATATAGAAACTAATGATAGCTGAATGGCTGCAGAACCAGCCCTTTTGAATCCATGTTTTTTTGTGATGTCATGAAAACCAACACATTTACATCCTCCTATTCAAACTACAGTAGTTTATCTCTGCCTATTCACGCTGAAGTTATAAAGAGTGTATGAGGCACAATACAGGGCAGCCAATCAGTACAGATCTCTGAAACTCTCAAAAAACACAGTTTTAATTAAGGAATGAAGAAAGGTTTGGAAATATCATGTTAAAATATTATTTTTTTTGCTTCATAAAACCACACAAACATCATCAGTAGACCTCAGCAGAAAATATTAAAAGCAAGAAAAATATAAGACATAGGACTTTAACTCTCTTAAGTTACAGTCATTTTAAACTTAATTAAAAAAAACAAAAAAAAAACCTTTTCTTACTTATTCTACCCCAAGCAGACATCTGCTGTACGTGTGGTCAGGGTATGTTTTCGGAGTGTGTGTTGTGCGTTAGCGGCCAGCTGGCTACTCCAGTGGAGAACAGACCTCAGCGCAGTTGGGTTCTTTCCAGAACGTGCTCCCTCATGCTGGCCGAGCTGGTGTTTTG